GAGGGTTCTCCACCCCGCACAACATGATCTACTCGACCACCATTATGGTTACCGCCAAAAATACAACAGGTGAAAAGATAACGGTATCCTGGTTGCCGAGTTCACGAAGTGAATGGGCTTGTTTTACAATGTCGTTGCCAAGCGACGAAAACCCAATCCCGATGGCAAACACCGGGGGGGGGGNTGTTTCGTTAAACACTGAGGTGTACTGCATCAGCTCTATCTCATCTGCCCTTACGTAGTTGGACGCGGTGTGTCGGTCCGAATCTCCCGAGATCATCCACCCTAAACATCGCAGACGGCAGTGACATGGGTGCGATGTGCCGTCGTAGAGGGCCAGCGAACGGAGTGGTACGTGTGACAGACACCACGTGGAACAGACGTGCTGCGAGGTGAAATGGTCTCCTTGGTGGATGGTATACGCCATGTCCATGCCCATGGGTATGTGTATTGTGTACTAGTGGTCAACACACCCAGCCCTTCAGGTTGAGAATTGAGTGCCACGTCCAAGGTGATAACACCACTGAGAGAGAGACAGAGCAAGCGGGACAGACAGACAGACAGACAGACAGACAGAGAGAGAGAGAGAGAGAGAGAGAGAGAGAGAGAGAGAGAGAGAGAGAGACAGAGAGAGCCAAACAGAGAGAAACAGAAAGACGCCGGAAGGAACAGTCAAGGAATAGACTACAGGACCAAGAAGAGAGACGAAAGACGTATGTACTGTGCAACAAACCGCGGAATGATGGGGTCAGGCGCAGCCGTCTCACCACCGCCACCGCCGCCACCGCTACCATCACCGCCGCCGCCGTCGGCACCGCCACCGCCACTGCCACCGTCGCCACCGGCGGCGACCCACTCCTTTTCGTCGACATCGATCTCCTCGACATCCACAACCTGCTGGGCAGGGGCCGGTACCAGCGGTGGTGTTTCGATTCCGTCCACGGCGACGGCGGCATCGTCTCCGGTTTTATCCTCGTGGTCCGGAGGGTGCTCGTGTGTCTCCGCCTCCTTCGTCGCCCCTCCACGTGCCAGGGGTTTAGGGGGTTTCCAACCCAGAGGCGACAGGCCATCGTTGTCCTGGGGGGGGGGGGGGGGGGGGGNGGGGGGGGTCGTGCAGCAGAGAACGGGATGGCTTCGAATGACTGTATGCAAGAGTCGTTCTTCGGTGCGGTTTGTTGGCGGCTGCACTTCCCTCGTAAATTATCGCAAGGATAAAGCCCCTCAAGACTACTGTACCTTCTCTCACCCCCTTGACTTGCTGTCGAGGATAGACGGTTTGGTGTTGTGGCCATGACTCCATTCGGCTTTGGATACACACTCGCCCACAACGCTACTTGTCACTTGGGACGGCTGCTATGTGCCCCACCTCCGTCTTGGCTCGCTTCTTGGACGGCTCCAGGGACCACTCATCGTCGTCGCTGTGTCCAACGGCCAGCACAAGCAACGAAGGGGGCGAGAAACAAACGGAAGAATAAAAAAAAATCAAAGATACACCGGGGGACCGGGGGTTGTACTCATAGTCGTGCATGCCGTGTCGTTCGACCAATGACCTCGCATCCCTACAAAGCCGGGACGGAGCACGCCGGGTTCTCACCGGACCAGGCTCTCACATCACCAAGCGCGAAGCGCCGTGAG